CGACAGCACATGATATAAATAATATGTGACAAAAAATTAACTCACGAAACAAGGGCAATGGCAAAAATTATTAAATTTTTGTAGAACTTCAATGTATGTGCACTGAGGAAATGTTCTCTGCGTTTATTGAGCATAATCTTTAAATAAACAAAATTGTGTTTCCTATTTGGGTATCGAAAGCTGTATTAGCAGTCTGTGATGTGCAGGCATTCTCAAACACGGTAACTTTCCCTTCTTTAACGGAAAAACAGCATTATGTCAAACGCCTTACGGTCAAACTTACGTATATCCGACTCACCCTTCCGCCAAGACATATTTGTTGGAAGAAAAAAACCATAAAGATATCCAATAAAAAAGGTTCTATATAATAACTAAAGCTATAAGAGCGAAATTTCAGATCGTATAAAATAACGGCTGTTGAATATCAAATGAAAATTAGCGAGCTCTAGTTCTCATAAGAGCTACAACATGGCAACTTAGTAATGAGTACATATAACATATATCTTACCCTAAGTGCTGATACCAATATTATCTAGTGACCGTCAGAGTCTGGTAAAAGGTCGATTGCTATTGAAATTAAGGACGCTTGAGTTTCTATGCATGACTGAATTATTTATACGTGTTAAGAAAACATATAAAGAAAGATTTTGTTAAAGTTGTATATTTTTCTTACGACATTGTAATCATACATTTGTATTGGAATTTTTCTATATTAAATATTCATCGATATCTGTTACTATGTGAGCTTTAATTCAAAAGACAAACGTATTGGAGGAATTTTTTGTTCAATGTAGTCGTAATAATGTAATTTAAATCTCAAATAAATGTCTTTTGTACTGGTACTGTAAGGCCTAAATTCTCGACGAGTTTCTGGTTTTCAACTAGGACGACAGTTATATTTATATAATTTAATTCGGATATCATTGATATGATAATACAAAGCTTGTTTAAAGACGGACATAGTGAAGCCTCGATCCAACCAATACGACTAATTTGTACCTCTCACTACCTCAAGGTTCCACTAGGTGACTAGAAGACCACACGTGAAACTGTGATTTCTAAACAGCTAAACGCCATGGTTCATGTTGCGGTTTTCCTCCAGAACCAGTCTATTCACAAACGGAAGCACTCTCCTGACACCGCAATTAACACCACCATCAAGAATTTACAGCTACTTTAAAATTACTTGCATTGACTTTTCGGCGAATCGCCTTAACATTTTGGCATATATAGATAATACTTAACCGGCAACATTTTGAAATTCGATATTCCTTCCGTGTTACAAAAGGTTTTGGTCAACTTTTTTAAAATTAATTAAAGTAATATCTCAACAGTTACGTAAAACCTATACTCAAGAACTTTCAACAATTAACAATGTAATCATTTTGAATAGGTAGAAAAAAATTCGAGTGCCTCTTTTTGCAAAACAGGTGTATAATTAGATAGTTATAAAAGTGAAAGTCAAAGTGGGTTACTAGTCAAATGTCTCTCGATTTGGTCAAACGGCGACAGTTGAAATATATGATGTGTATGTTCTTATATGAAAAATATAAGGGAGGTTTATTGAATGTTCCAGTGTTATCTATAGGCTGTTGGTATCCAATGGCAACGTTCTCGCTACTGTGAGCAATGCAAAGTGAAAGTGAACAACGCTCACGTAGCCGTAGTCCCAATAAGACGACACACAACCGTCCGCATACCTCTGCAATTACCACGAGGAAATCAGAACTGTTCCGCCGCTCCCAGTACCCTCTGTATACACGATTTTAACTTGTATATACTCAGAGCAATCAACTTGAAGATTATAAAAACAACGTACTTTTTATCATCTTTTCTCTATATTATTTCGATTCTTACAACTGTGTATAAAAAAGTTAGAAACTACCTTAAAATTAGAAAATTTATAATCAATTTCCTTTCCATATATGATATTATAACATCAAAAATCAATAACATTATAAATAATGTTAATAAAACCACGACTTCACCTTTGAGAATCAAAAGACTTTCCTCATATTTTCATTGTAACTTCCGTGCAACATTATAGTACAATGACTAGTTTATCTTGACACTCGATTCTATAGTTGATAAAATGTTTCGGAGATCAAGTTAAAGTGGATGACATCGTAAGAAGTTGTCCTTGTAATGAATGTAAACACTATTGTTTGATCATGTGGCTGTTAATTATAATCTGATAAAGGTATGCTTGATAGAACATTTCAAACGATTTAGCAATAATGTATATACCACCAATAGATTAGAATGGATACAGACATTATAAAGAAAGAGATAAAAAGATTATACGTGTTTCAAAGTTTTATAAACATTATACATATTTGGACATTGAAAAAATGAAATCTCCGATTGCACAATATTGTGAAGGAGATACTAAAAAAATACTTTCAAACCCGAAAATGTGAGTCATAGCAGAAAAAAAGAAACGTTTACATTTGAAACGGTTAAATAATGCTATCCAAAATAATTTACTATACGTAGACGAACATTTTATAACCGCACAGTTATTTTCCTACAAGAAATTAACACGTTTAAAACTATTCTTATTATGCTAATATTTGCACAAATCATGTCGGATGAAATAGCGCCCGACATGATGGAAACGCGTAACAAAAGTTTTCAGTTAAAGATAAGGTCATTATAAACCGAATCCTGTTTTCAAGGTTTGCAATAACGGGTCCATAATACGATGGTGTAAATAAAGCGCCCGGGGAGGACAACGACCCGAATGGATCAGAACGTATTCAATAAACGTTAATAATACATACTGATTAACAATTTAATATTGCTTACTGTATACAGTTCATTGTACATTGTACATAGAACTAGTGATTCATTAGATAATATAGATATATCATTTGTTGTTGACAAGAATAACATCAAGGATAATATTCAATATTCTGTACTAGCACTATTTAACCCAACTCGAATCTTGATAAGCCATTATACACAAAAAAATCTTTGATCTTTTTAAATAAATCTGTAACATTAATTCTGAATTTCTTCAAAATAGATGAACGTAATTTATTATCTCTTAATTCTGACATTCGCTTTTTATATGGAATGGAATGCTATATATAATTTTTGCCGTAAAAGTACATTTCGTTTCATTATGCGGCATTTAAAAAGTGAATAATAAGTCAATTTAAGATAACTTTAAAGATACATGAAATTATGTAATTATATGTACAATTTTATTTTACGTTGAATTCCGTACGAGATCCTTAGGAAAGAGGAATAAATATGCGATGTTATTAAAGGTTGTATTAAAAACTAAGTAGTTAGTCATGAGTAATGTGGGGACAACGGCCGTCGCACCTGGGAGGTGCAGTCGCATGCGACTGGAACCGTTTCTATTTTTACACCCTCCATCCACTCTATCTTATTTACTATTCTGGTCCGCAACTCATTGAATTGTGGTTATTATGTGCAAGTTGGATATATGCCAGAAACTCGAACCAAACGCACAGATATCGAGATATTCAAAGAATTATATCGCGATGGCTAACAGTTTCACTGGAAATTATATTCGACGAAATCTTTATACTATTTATACATTTAAAACGCAAAGTCAAGGATGCATAGAATGGAAGTGAAAAAATTTAGAAACGCCTTACGTAATCTCGGTACGACTATGAAGTGGTCGAAATTTAATATATTAATAAGGACGATCGAGGTCATTTACATACGACATGGACAAGTGAGAAAGAGAAAAAGAGAAGAGATCATATGAGACAGGCGAGGGGCGACGGTGGCTAACAGAACCGGTCGGAGGCGCCGGCCGTCGGAGGCAGGATCGGACGAGGATTATCACCTTGTAAACAGTATTGCATTAGTTACGTTTTTGTAAATCTATAGAGTATTTATAACAAACATTGAAACGGATATAGCATTGATTGGTCATTGTTTTCAAACATTTTGCAGTTTTTTTAGACAAAAAATAATCAATTTAGAACTTATGTGACGCCCATGATAATTTTAATAACGAAACATATTTAGGGTAAACTTATTAGAGCAGCCGAAACGAAAAGCAGCAAAACGAAATCGTTTAAGTGGGTCATCGTAGAATTTCGCAAGCTTATCGAGTGCTGCAAGCGTTAACTGGTACGCTCGAGGCAAGTCAAGGCCCGCGTCGTCTGCCGCCCCTGTCGCCGCTGGTGTATCATACCAGTTAGGATTAACAGGCTACATCTGTCTTTGATAAACCCTCTTATACTTAAGTTACGAGAGATAAATATAGATCGCTACTGGACAAAAACTTCTTTATCATAAACTCGTTGGAAAAAAGGATCCAATCGATATACCGTACAATGATTAAAACCTAGCACAATTTTTAAGTATGTGAGGTAATATAAAATGAGTTAATCTTTTCCCAAACATCCGAGCGGATTAAGTAGGCCGAAATAAGCAATAAACGGGGAGTTGGCAGAATACTAGACAATAAAAATACATAACGGATCTTTAACGATCTCTGTAGACAACTGCATCCACATATAAGTATAGTTAATAGCTTTTTATACTCGAATAAATCCAGAAATTTGAATTACATACAGTTACGTAATAATAAATTCATAACGCCGGCATGTGAAAATCATCATTGAACGATTCAGTGACGCCTACCTCAAGAATACCGTTCACTACCGAAATAGTTGCGTTGTTGTATTGTCACAGACGAATATAAATTTATTTTCATATAGCTGCAGTTTCATTGTACATATTTATATTTCTCAATAGCTTCGTCACTAACATTTACAGATAAGGTCAAAGTATTATGTAAACTATATGGATAAGTACGTGTTATTGTCTTAACAGATGTCATAAAATACATGTAAAATGACTTTCAATTATTATCTCAAACTTAAACTGACATTCTCAACAGATTTAAAGCATGTAATACAGTATAGCCATTTAAGTACAGAAAATAATAACGTAAAATAATAATATATGTATATATGTATAGTTCATAATCAAAATTTTAAACTTACCCCTTGATTTCCGGGTAGGAACTCTATTTTAGGTTTTGCCAATTTGTCCTGAAACAAAAAATAAAATAACAATGTTACTTATGTAGAATTACATAAAATACATGTATATTATATAAGAACTAAGAAAGTAAGTAAGCCTGCATTATTTATCCTTCAAATATATTAACACTTACTTAGATTGTTTTACACTATCTTAGAAAATAATTTGTATGCTGTTTAAGACTACGTCTTTACTTTTATGCTCCAAATTTATTAAAAAAGAAAACAGATGTATATGATAAAAATATAAAGGTTTTAATTTTCATTTCGATGCATGGTTGTACATCAGGGAACTTTGTAATTTTTTAGTGTAATTATGACTTTGACGTAAAGGGACACGTTTACAGATGAATAAAGCATGAGGTTAAATCTTTTATTCCATCCCTTTATTCATTCACAATACAACGCAACATTTTCTTTTATTTCGAAATCTTTTATCAACAAAACTTCACAATCAGTTATTTTCTATAAGATAAGAGATTATCTCAATGTTTTTTCCTTATACATATATTGATAATTCATTAATTAGAAAAATATACTAAAAAAACTCCAAAATAACATTACTGTGACTTTACTTTTGTACCTAAATTAAACGTATATTACAAACTCACAAAACATAACAAGTTCTAATTTTCCAAAAAGTATTTTATGCGTTCTTAGTCTTGTTCTGTTTGTATAAAATTTATTAAACTATTAGTTTACTGAGAATGACAAGTATTTGCTAATGAATGTAACCAAGGACCACATATAATATCTTAGTACATACCATTTTTTATTAAAAATAATAACTAAGATATTATTCACGTATAATAGAATACTCATGTATTGTATAGAAGTGTTACGGAAAGTACGATATGACGCAATATTTCGCGGCAGTTCAATAAGACAGTGTTTCGATGATAGCCATAGCAAAGTACAATGTAAAATTTTCAATATACAGAGTACGACGAACTGTGAATCATATAGGGAATATTTTTTTTTATATGGGAATGATTCAGAAACAATTATTGCATGAAGTAATATACTCAATTGCAGTATTAATTTCACTGTTACAGGATTTGAAATAATAGGAATATGACTATTTGATGACACTATATGATGAAATACAATTTGTGGAATGAAATATATATAGGAATCACTAAGATAATTACAAAGGGATTGCTTCAAACCGAGTCGACTATAACCTAATAAAACATTATAATTACATGACAAAAAGTAAAACCAGTTAAGCAACGAGTCGAGCTGGCCACAATAAGTAAGTGTCGGCAAGTTGTTGCGTTGCACAACCGGCGATGGTCGAACGCGAGAAACATAACTAGGCTGTGCGCCACACTGATGATGTAAACTTAAAAATTGCTTTACTTACTTACTTAACCAGACCCAATGTGAGAGTTACAAAGAACTGTACGAACACGGGGAGCCGACCCGGAAATAAAAATATAATACAATCACTATGTACATAATTAAATTTTATTCAAATGACGTACAAGTACCGATAGATTTCATTTCAAAAGCTTAGTTGAGGACTGATAATGAGCGAGATTATCGTGTATAACTCAAAGTTTCTTTGAAGATGAATAATTTATTACAAGTTCTCAGTACGAATAGTCAATTGATATTTATTTATTAATTAGGTATAACATTTTGAATGTGATAATATAAATATATAAAAATTAATCATTGTTAGTTATGTAAGTATATCGAACCGTCCAAATAACAATATCAAGTGACTTCAGTTCAAATCTAGTAACTTATTAAATTAACAAACAGCAATATTAAATTGCATTTACATACAATGCGTATAGAATTTAAAATTAATACCAGTTCTCTGTGATTTCTATTTCATTTGTCACATACGAGGGAAATGTATTACAGTATATTTTTAATAAAATTAGTATTGATATCCTTATAATGTCTTTATTCTATATTAAATTTCAAAACAGAAACACATGGGAAAAAATATTTAAAATTAAAGACACAAAGTGATATTTTCCTTGAGACGTTAATTTGTTAAAATATAATTAAATAATAATTTGTCTTTTTATATGTTTAATTTTTTACACTAGTGTTTTTGGTAACCTTTATACCTATTGATATTAACGTTACAAACTTTAATATTAAATTGAAAAGTATTTCCGACCTTGCGTTGAATTGTTCCGTTGTATTGTGAAGCAATACGCGGACAAGTGACCTTAGCATAACGAAGACCTTTAACTAAAAAAAATTACAATAATTTTTGCCTCCCATTTAGAAAACATTTTATTAAAATCATTTACTTAGTGTATACTAAAAACGTAAGAATATTAATTTGCATACCAATAAAATAATTTAGCATATTAATGAACTAAGTAGGTACCTATTTTATTAATAAAAACAACTCTATTAAACTATTTTATTAATATTAATACAATCAATATAATTAATAGTACTAGTTTTAAGGCAATTTTTTGAAATAGTACAAGTAAATTGTAATAAAAAAAAATGAAAACCCAAGCATTCTTTATCATTTAACGGTACCGGATGGCACTAAGCACCTAACGAGTAATCATTATTTTGGATAAGACTTTATACTCTTACACTGAATGGGAGATATAAGGGAAACACATCAAATAAACACAGCAAGAAACTGACTTTCAAATTAAATAAACAGCATCGAAATCGGTTGACCCATTTGAGAGCTACGTTGCTAGGGAAAAACGAACATTGATTTGGACATCAAACATGTAAGAACCCTTTTGTGTCAGTGTCATTTAAATACATATTACTTTGTTACTAAAAGAGTGAAACAGACTAGAAATGAATTTATTTTAGAGAAGAGGATAGTCAGAACGATACTAATATGAATGTAAAAATTTGTTATCCCAATACGCTGAATGTACTGAACAATAATGAGATATCATTAAATTCTACAATAATATGAATAAATTATAATATTCCAGAATCATAACCAGTGCCACCGTTAGATAATTTTATCAAAAAGATTTAGAAAAAAAGCTAAAAGAAACAATTCATAGCAAATTTAATACAAGAAATTTAATATTCAACTCAAGATCAGCTTTATATACATATAGTAAAGATTTCCCATTTAGACTTATTTTGTACTTTTATATAACCATTAAAACATATTTTGCTTGTTCATATCTGTAATGGCTTATTTTTACTTTAATTTAATTCATAATACCATGTATAAAAGAGCTATCCTTAATGAAAACAATTTATTTATAAACATTTGTATCTGAACACGGTGTTTCAGAAGGACTAAATATTCTATGACAATTATAACTATTTATATTATTACAGTAATATTTTTGTGATATAATATAATTTGATACAAAATGCAAGTGAGATAAGAAGATCGCAGTACGTACTAAAAGCCTTTTTTATTATTTTCTTTCTTTATTATCTACATTAGTTCATGGGTCATTCTTCGGACAGTACGTAAACTTTTAAAAGATAAGAAAGTGTATAAATATAAGGCGGGGCCAGCAGCGTCGCACGAATCACTCGCTGTTAAACGATGGGCCCGGCGACATACATTCTTTAAAAACAACGCCACATCCGATTAAACCAGTACCTTTTGTTATTGTATACGTGAAAGTTGAACAAAAATCTCTTAATAAAGATCCGTCAAATAAATTATATTATGCTTTGCTATTTATTGCAACTTGTTTCTCAGATGCTTGTAGCATAATTCTTATTTTTATTTCTAAAAGTTTTAAACAGCCGTTTCCGGCTCAATGGTAGGCATTTTTTTCCACAAACTACAAAGAATTAACAGCTGACACTAACAATGGGTTCGGCACTTTAAAGCAAGAAATGAATAGAAACAAATCCTACAATAATTAAAAAGTATATTTATTACAAGGAGAGACCCTGTAAAAGAATAGCAAAAAAATTATATATATGTCATCGTCTACCTGTTGAGCTCAAAGCAACTGAAAGCCGTCGTCCTCGCAAATAGTTTTTATCGAGATTTAAATATTGTCAATCGAATTCAATGTCAATTGACGTAAAAATACTTTAATAATTCAAGACATTGAGCAATTGCTAATATAAAAAAAATAGCGGTACACAAACTGACTTAATTAAAATACAAAATTATTTGTATTATAAAAGAATAATTCAAATTTCACTTTATCTTTTAATAATAAAATATGAAATTAGTTACGATTCATAGCTATGTAAATTATATAACTCAATGGGATATACTATATTATTATGTTAGTTTGGTGAATGCTGTAGTCTAAGACTAGTTAATGATATTTAACTATCCTTTCAATCACCATTACGTAAAGCGGCGCGAGCGCAGTAGGGCTTGTATAGGTTGTCTGGCATTTTGCAAACCTGTTTGATTTAACCATGCATTCAAAATGCAAGATAGGACACAGGTGTTCTAGCTTTATGTAATGTATATTAAAGTATAAAGTTTTTTCATTGTCTGTTCATACAATATAATCTTGTTATATTATATGTACTTATTTCGTTTAACACTCTCATGGCTTTGTTAATGACGTACTCGGTATTATATCCGTGCAGGAAACCTCTTTATAGTAACGGAATTCCTCGGGAGACTGACATCTGTTGGACAGGGACAACCAGGTGGTTAGATTTGAGGGAAGAGGGTGCGACGACCCCGGACCCTTCGTATATGTACTTTACTCCCCTAGACGACGGTGCGGACGCCAACGAATGATTGAAACTTAAGAATCAAATTAAAACATATACGTATTGTGTACGTACTTATTACATTAATATTTTTGTTTTCATTAAAACATTTCTATGAAAAAACTCATAATAAAGATATGTGTGATAATTATTTATTTACGTAGATAACACTTTATGCGAATAATTATTTTAATATTATTGACAAACTTCTATGAAAAAATATATAAATCTGATAGATTAGAATACAAACAACATTAAACTCAAGATTTACCGAGGATTATTACTAACTTCCCTAATTGATTTAAGTGAAATAAATGTAGTTGCTTTGAAATTTTTTTAGCCATATCAAGGCTATTGTACTTTGTACTGCTTAAAAGCCAATAGTTTTTTTTATACGTTTTTAGGCACGAAATTAATATACATTATTACAAAGATTCTTAAGCAAATGATAAAAAATAATTTTGTTATTACGCACTACTTTAAAACAAGTAATTCAATTAATCAGTTACGGCAATGGAGCTGGCTACTCTTACTTAAGCATCACTTCAATGGGTGACTAAGTTTAGTGGACATTAAAAACATTGAATACCATTTCAAAAGAGATTTACTATTCAATGGACCTTATGTTCAAAAAAAGACCAGGTGGCGCGTTCAGACAACAAAAAAAAACATCCGTCACAACCAAAAACTTCAATAACAGATATGGGATTACGAATCTAACCACGTGAGTGAAAGTGATCAAATTGCCGTGGCAGTTCTACTGTTTGTTGGGTGATTTCAGTCTGTATGCAACGAATACACCATGTTCAAACACGTGCACTCAGTAGGGAGAATCTGTCAGGTGGCCAGGCGTTATAAACTTGTACTGCAAAATAAATTGTTTACGTTGGCAACTTTGCGGAATTGGTTTTTTTCGATAGATTTAAAAGCCATCTGCTTCCTTGGGTAGTTTTCAAATCTGCGGTTTATTTCAAAGTTGGCATAAAAAATGAGATTCCTTTTATTTTTCCAATAATTCTAAATTGATTTAAGGCCTTTCACTGGTCAGTAGTACCAAAATTATGTACCTAATTTAAAAAATCTATTAAAATAGAATAAAATAAAAATTCTATTGCATCCTTTAGTGGCTATTTAATGGATTTATTGTACTTGTGATGGTATACAAGTTAATTAGTGATTTTAGTGTACACTATAAACTTCATACTTTATGACAACAACATATTGGATAATTATTCCTCATAATAACAATTCCGTACGAAGTTCAAGAACAGTTACAATAAACATAAAGTAATTTAATTTTCTCAAATAGTTAGTGTAATAAATAATAAAAAAAATCCATCAACGAAATAAAATTTTCAGAATTATATGTAAATACAGCTATATTTAATTAATAAGTTAGATTTAGAACTTTATATTGAAGAAAACGAATATTACAACTAAAGAAAAAAGATTGAAGTTTTTATTAAATTATACTAAACAATGAGAATTCTTCATTGTCATTAATTTATAATAGTTGTTAATTAAATAATATATGTACTGGGATGGATGGTGTCTATAATTTTATTCAAGAATTAAAATTCTCATGTTCAATTTATTGCAATCATATCATTTTTTTATTTATTACCTCATATGTGGGCTGCTTGTTCTCATTTGTGGTTTTATTGATAAGTCTTTTTATCAACACTGAATATGACCACGAAAGGGTTCGAAAGAGTACGAGTTCTATATTTGCGTAAGTGTATAATTTGATAATTTAAAAGTCGCCAACAAAAAAAAAAAACAATCTAATATAGTATGCTTCATGTAACGTTCTACCATTGAATTAACAATACTTATAGTTTCGGATTAGTAACCGGTTTGAGGCGGACGCGGAGTAGGATGAAGATGTTATATTTTTTTATTTTGGATATCTCCAAATCATATACTTTCACCGTAAAGTTGAACATTGTCATTGCTGCGGTAACGGTGAGCCCGATTCGCTTACCTAATGTACCTGGGTTTGCGAAACTGGCCAATCGACACGCGCCGAATGTTGACTGCTCAGAAATAGATCAGCTTCTCGGGTATATTACGACATTTCATCGTAATTTAACTTTATTTGGTGTCATATGTATTGGTTGTTTAAATTATTCACCATAGTTTACAAAGATCTAATGATAATGATAAAAAGCTATCATATTTGTATCAAAGATTGATTGGCTTAAGCAAATCAAGATATTTTTTTTTACTATTCTAGTTAGTTTATTACAAAGGGCCTTTTTATACAAATGGTTTTTTCAAATAATTTAGAAAACTAAGCATTTTAAAACCATTCAGCTCTAACAAAGCTTGTCAATAGTTCTTCTTTTGTTACCTGACTGTTAATGACTTTCACTTTGATCAGACTGCATCTTAGTCATTTTTTGGTTAATTGTTTATTAAACTTTAGTAAACATTAAAAATATTTAATATCCTACTTCTGAAGAACTAATTTAAGTAATGACTACTATAAAATAATTATAGCTAATGACATTTAAACAATATAAAACATATTTATTGTAACTAATTAGCGAATTTCATTATTATTATGTATTGTAATGAGATGGAAAAAAACCAGCAAATTGACCATAACCATTGAAAGTTCTAAATCATTTGCATATGTATTTAAATAAATAACAAGTATATATATTGTTGGTTTTCTGGATGTTACAGATGACTATGTACTGTTTTCTTATTTACTTTTCGATCGGTAATAATATTTCTTGAACTACTATCATATTTTAGTCACCACAATAATGTATTTTAGTCTAAAACAGAATCACGTTTCCGTCTTGAGTGTGTAAATTCTATTTTAGATTGTCTCTAGTGACACCATTTCTATACTATATGTTAAATGATTTTCAACAGGTAAAAAATAAATCTTTTCAATAAAAACAATTGAATATAAGACATAAAAGTTACAAAAACAAAAGTATTTATATACACCACTCCAATGTTTTCAATGGAAATTTATTGTTAAGAGATAATTTTCCGAAATCATAATCATTATTCAGATAAGGGGAAGATTTTGTTAGTCATTATAATCTTAATAAAAATAGTGAGTGTTATAAGAATACATGTAGCGCCATCTATGATCAAATTAATAAAAATTACCAAGTGATGAAATATCGGTTACTTAGAATTAATGGATATATTGTTTGTTTGATTCATTTACAACTTAATAAAAAATATATTATATAGAATGTCATAGAAGAATAATATTAAAATAGTATAAATATCTTCTTTCTAGATTTTAGTACCATAAAAAGTATTCTATATCCATATGATGCGGAAATATTTTTACACAAAAAAATTATTTATTTGTAAGCTACCTTGAAAATAATTTTAATTGTATGGTTGAAATGATTCATATAATGCCATATTGTGATTTATTAGAGATTTTTTAATACTAAACTTGTTTTGTATTTCTATAAGTTATATATAATTATTTATAGATTTAACTCGTTAGATGATTCCTGTCATAAACAATCATTAACTAATCATAATTTCTATAGTTAAAATATGTTAGTTCTCTAAAGCCCCAAGACTACATGAAAATATTTCAGTTAACATTTTTAGAACTATTTAATACAACTGTTGTGTCTTCATTTTATCATAAAGTTAAAGGATTTATGAACTGATTTTTTTTTAATTAGTTTGTTCTCAATTTTTTCTCTAATTGTTCACCACAATATGTATTCACAAAGCAAATTGCACACTCATTTGTTTTTAAAATCAAGTCTAAACTATTACCATTAAACTTAACTTTACCAAGTGGACATTAGCTAGAAACTAAAGACTTTGATTACATCATTACAAGAAATCCATAAGAATGTGTTCCTTTGTGACTTTTTTTAGAGTTTAGGATTACTTTCAAATAGTTTCGAAGTGTCGATAACAATGTATCCTAAATATAGACTATTTGTTGTTATCGCGTCGAGAAATATCAATTATTCTCAAAAGAATCTCTGAAGTTGAAAGAGATATCCTTGTTGGCCATCAAAGTCTGTCACAATAAGACGAGTAAACTCTAATTATAGCCATATAAAATATAAATCTTTGAATAACAGAGCAGAATTTCTACATGTTGACGTGGCGTGACATTGTAAAGAACATATTAATCTTGAACTCTGTTACATTTATTTGAATATAAGTCAATATTCTAATCCTAATAACAATAGATATTGCAAAAACATTACAAATTTGCAGTTTCGTTTTGATAACTTGTAATATAAGTATGGCGCCTCTGACATTGTTGGCCTGTTTTGGTGTTAACAATATGGCGTATGTACTTACCCTATTATTTCTAATGAAGTCTTCTATAGCTTTTAGTGCTGAATCCGTTAATTTCACAAACACTAGTTCCTTGTTTTCTTTATAACTAGCCTCCGATGATAACGCATACTGAACACCTGCTGGCAAGGCCGCCATTTCTTATTCACTATTCGCACTGTGGACCAGCTGACACCTTTGCTAGTCGTCACGATTCATATCATTCACACATTTCTTAACGTAATCACAGATTCACAACCTATTTAAAATTATAATTACAATAACAAAAGGGTTTTATATGTCCAAATTAACAATTTTTTGTAACCCCATCGACTCGGCCTTTGTTGGCAGCACTCTTCAGTCTGCAAGGCCGCACTGACTGTCATGCGCAATGGCGCTTTTGACAGGAAACGCGAGCATTCTCTGTGTCAATCGCGCTAAATTCAAATGTAATAAAAAAATGATAATATGAAAAATATTTTAAACTATTAATAAAAAATTTAATAGTATAAAATATATTTTTACTATAAAATATACAATCTTAAATAGTCTTAATAAAACATTTTAGTAATAGTTTTTAAAACTGTTAAGACTGTAACACGTATAAAAAGGAGCAATAAGTTTTAATTTTCTTATTTTGTTCATTCCTGTTTTATGTTATATTCATTTCGTTATCAGTCTTTTTTATTTATACATAAAATACGAAGAGATATTAAAGTTAATTTAATTGTTTTTTTATCATTACTAAAACTTACATGACAGCTAATTATTTCATTTTTACACTTTAAAAAAGGCTTGTTATGTGTGATGTTAATATTTAATTTTACTTCTCATTAAAATGATTAAAAATACTGTTTTCATAAGCCAACGTTTTTAATAAAAGTTTTTTTGCAAATAAGTCTGTAGTGAAAATGAAATATTTTGCACAGATAATAATTCACAAAAGAAACAAAAAAATCTTTTAATATTTTGTAAATCTGAATTAAATAAAAATATGTTCACAAGTGAAATTAAACAATATTTATTATGTTTTTTTCTCATGTAACATATATACCATTCTGTACAATTCTAACTGCTTCAACTTCGACTGAAATCTATAATTGCTACTGATGTAGCGAAAAAAATAGAATTTTATGACATGATTCTGTATTCCTATTTATTGTAAATTATTTATTCTGTACAACAGTATTTATTAATTACTTATTTCTATTACATATTTTTGGTAGCTGAGTTTGAAGGTGTTTCTTAGTCCAATAGAGTAAAAGCAAATTTAGATATGTGAGTCATTCAACTAATTATATCAATATTTAGTTTTTTTTATATTATTCTATAACTGTATATCAATTTATTATTGTTTAAATAGTTACATAGTTATAAATTCATTTAATATTTGTTATAAAGGATTTTTATAATTTTTATTCTGTATATTTTGTCGACGTCACTGTCACGAAAGCTACATGCATTTTCGTGGCCTGCTGTCGTACGGTGTACCTTATAATTTATATATACCGTACCTATTCATACTTCATGGGATTCTTTAGATAAAAGTAAGAGTTTGTTATCGAATTGATTAGTATAAATTTTTTTGAAATCATTACAGTAATTTATCAATATAAAATATTTTTTTTAATTGACATAGTGTAAAAGTGACTACTTTCCAATAGGAACATGTTTCAAAAACTCATTATGAATTTGTAAAATTTGTCGGTTTCAGGTTAACTTTAACGGCGAAAATGGAAAATTGGCAAGAAAAGAAAACGCTCATAACCCGTAACTTACAAGAAGTGTTGGGTGATGAAAGACTGACAGAAATTTTGAAACAACGGGATTTAAAAATATATTGGGGCACGGCGACAACTGGGAGACCTCATGTGGCATATTTCGTGCCAATGTCTAAGATTGCTGATTTTCTTAACGCGGGATGCGAGGTAACAATTTTATTTGCTGACTTACATGCCTATTTGGATAACATGAAAGCTCCTTGGGAGTTATTATCCTTGCGAACACAATACTATGAAGCCGCGATCAAAGCTATGTTAACTTCCATTAATGTTCCCCTAGAAAAACTAAAATTTGTCAGAGGTACAGAATATCAGCTAAGCAAAGAATACACTTTGGATGTCTACCGCATGTCATCTGTTATAACAGATCATGACGCAAGGAAAGCCGGGGCAGAGGTTGTAAAACAAGTCGAGCATCCATTACTCAGTGGTCTCTTGTATCCTGGTTTGCAAGCGTTGGATGAAGAGTATTTAAAGGTTGATGCACAATTTGGTGGTGTTGACCAGAGAAAAATATTCACTATGTCTGAGAAGTATCTACCTCAGTTGGGCTATGCCAAAAGGGTGCATCTCATGAATCCAATGGTTCCAGGTCTGACAGGTGGTAAAATGTCTGCTTCAGAAGAGGACAGTAAGATAGACTTATTAGACAATCCAGCTAATGTTAAAAAAAAGCTTAAGAAAGCCTTTTGTGAACCTGGCAATATTACTGAAAATGGTGTTCTCTCATTTACTAAACATGTTGTGTTTCCATTAATGAAACCTGGCGAAACATTCAAGATTTGTAGAGCTGAGGAGCATGGAGGTAATGCTGAGTATGACAATTTTGAAGCTTTAGAAGCAGCTTTTGCAAAACAAGATATCCATCCGGGTGACTTAAAGGCATCGGTAGAACAAGCTATAAACAAGTTGCTTGCACCTGTTCAAGAAATATTTAAGGATCCTAAACTTCAAGAACTCACTAAGAAAGCCTATCCACCTCCAGTCAAAGTAAAGGGTAATGCTAATTCAAATGCCGATGAAATAAGCCCTGTTAAATTAGATATAAGAGTTGGTCGCATAGTTGATGTATCAAGACATCCCGATGCTGATGCTCTTTATGTTGAGAAGATTGATCTCGGTGAAGATGAGCCTAGAACGGTTGTATCCGGCCTTGTCAACTTTGTACCTATAGAAGAAATGCAGAACAGAGATGTAGTTGTTCTGTGCAATTTAAAACCAGCGAAGATGCGAGGTGTAGAATCTAAGGGTATGGTTCTTTGTGCATCTATTGATGATCCAAAACAAGTTGAACCTCTTGTAGTACCTAAAGATAGCAAACCTGGTGATAGAATTGTTATCGAAGGCTATGAAACCGGCGAGCCCGATGATGTATTGAATCCTAAGAAAAAAGTTTGGGAGAAACTACAGGTTGATCTAACGACTAATGATGATTTGTTTGCTGTGTGGCAAGGTAATAAACTTATTAGTAAAGTCAACGGCAACCCAGTTACAACAGGATCCATGAAGAATGCTCCCATCAAGTAATATGATAAGATAAAAATGTTATTTACCTATGATAACTGTTTTTGGTTATTGCATTTGCTTGTTTCATTTTGAATAAAGAATTTATTTTACAAGTAATATGATTATTATATTTTAGTTCATTTAACATGTGTACAATATTTAATTTTTTTTATTATTATAGTACATAGGTATACATATTTATAATATTGTTATCTTTATTTATATCAATTTATCAGTATCAGTTGAAATTAAATTTTGATTTAAGATAAGATATAATTTAGGATGACATGCTATTTTTTTTAATTAAATTTGTTGATTATAATGACTACTTCTAAATTTTGCTGTTTCTTTATAATTGTTATAAAATCTTTAAAAATTAAACTTTAGGTAAATTAAAACAATTTTATGAAAACGAAAAAGTCTAGAACATATATTATTAAGTTATTGAGAACCCATAATAGCAATTTCAAGCCTAGGATTTTGGTTTTTTAAAATTCTTTAGTAATATGAAACTCAACATAGAGTTAATCGAACTTGCCACTAACTTAAAATTTAATTTTTTTCCCATGTCGTTTTCTTCTAAACTGAATAAACTGATTTTGTTGACTTGCTTTTTTTTATTTTCCAAAATGTAACTTTTAAAAATTTAAAAGAATAACGAATTTATTGAAGAACACTACAACAACATATCGAGTGACATGTTTAAATCATAATTTTTTGGAATAAAAATAGTTTTCGAAAATTGATAATATTAGATACAGTGGTAAGACCTAAAAGCATTTCCCAAGTTATAGTTGAAGAAAAAAGTTATATTAGTTGGCATTGTCGGATCCATCATTAAGCTAGCTATCAACCAAAAGGTTCTTAATGCAACAAAATATATTTGTTTGAATTTAAAAATCGACAATTGACCTAGGTATTATAAAAAAAGTAATATCTTTTTCTGTTTTGAACACATTCTTTACTAACAGATAAAAATTCCATATACGCGTACTGACACATAACTATGTACAAGGTTTCTAATTGATTGTCCTATATAGTTTATTGAATGGTATGAATGAATGAAACTTGGAAAGAAATAACATTTGATCGATTTTTCATAAGTAGTAATTTGTAAAATACATAAAGTAGGTATAGATAATAGTAGTAGTAGTAGTAGTAGTAGTGTATCTTTACAAAACAATGTTTCAAGTGAAACTTTTTACGTATAGCCGATATTTACCTGAAAATTATTGATGAGTTACTCGATTCTATAGTAGTTAAATATGTAGTTGGAATATAGGAATATTAATACTTAACTGGTAATAATTTAATAAATATATAAATATGCAAACAAGATATCGAATTATAAAAATAATTTTAAACTCCGTGTAGGTGTTGGGAAAACTTAATTGGGATAACTTATTCAGATGATATTATACTAAGCACAATATTAATTACATCATTGATTAAAACACAAAGTACCGCGAAGCTTTTCCACGAATGAGTGGGAACATAATATGTACCTATGTGTGGCATTCCGTCAGCTGATACGACTTCTTGGCTTCGTCATAATGATGTTGGTGGCTCTACTGATCGCCTTTCACTTTATTCATACTACTAAGTCAGCTGTAATGCAACATAGTATAATTTGTATGGAAAATTAAATGGATTAAAAAAAGTATTTCGTAAGTAATAAATGTCCTTAATAAATTATTTACAGGACGCACTTGATGGGTAAAACTACTAGGTCCTACATTCAAATTTCTTTGCTACATAAGTTTGTATATATGGAGTAATCTTCAAAGCTAGTCAACCCAACTTTTTTTGGCCTCAATACAGAAATTTTGTTTCCCATCACCATAGTTGATAAAGCATCCCTTGAAACACGTCTTAGTGGAACCGAATATTCATTGTAAGTAAATGAAAATATAATAATAAAAGAAGAATCTTTTCAAATACCTAATAAAAGTATCTTTCCAAATATATAAGATGAATTTATTTGACAATTAAAGTGATATTTTAATTGTGTCATATCATACATTCATGATTATAAGTTCTTATATTCTTTAAATAAAACAAATAGGAAGATACCATTTTTCAACATACCTAATAGAAAATATATTTGATTTAAAAACGTCTTGAATCGTCTTATAGTGATAATGATTCTTACTTTACTTTAGGTAATGATAGACCTCAAGTGTAATATAAAGTTAATAGAATTAACTGCACTGAGCGACTTTTTAACTTTATAACTTCTTAATGATGAAGGAATTTAATTTAACCTAGAGCATAGATCATACTCAACATATTTTTCGTAATTTCTAGTAAGTATTTTGTTATTTAGAGCTACGAGTTAGTTACAAATCTGCTTGATACTAGGTCTAGATATGTATCAATAAATAGTAACTTCCATTGTAAGGTAGAGTAGAACAAATTTTTGTATTCTTTACCTGTCAATTAGCAATGCTGAGAGCGATGCAGTTAAAAATATTGATTTCCAGGTTCACATTTGTTATGCAAACTTTACGTCAATGACCGCCTGCTGTTATCCAGGCTGTAATATAGGTGAATTTTTTAATAAATATAATTTTGTTCATTTGAATAAGTTTAAATTGATTTGTAACTAACAATGGAAAAATTTCGTCTATCAACGTCGTAAATACTCAGTTTAAGTTTTTGTTACTTTTTAGACTAAATATAGATTATTTAAATTCTTTCAATAGCTACGGTAGGCTTGGAGAATGTAACACATTGTTGATTAATACTTCGCCAAGAATAGGATTTGATATACCCAGTTTCGTGTCTAAAAATATTTCAGCCGAATATTTATTACATAATAATTGAAAGATTTCCATTGTTTTCATTTATTTAATAAAAATATAAATATATAAACATTTTAAAGCAAAGTTAAATGAAGTTTAACAATTAAATATACAGGTATTTATAGTAAGTTTTCGTTACCGTTTACTCTATATAAGTAGGTAGACACGTAATTGCGTGTATATTGAATTAATCGCCTTTCAGCCCCTTGTTTATTAGATAATAGGCCTTAATTCTTGGTGAAGGCACTTAGTAGATAAGTTATTATACGTTTTTATATAATATACATATGTGGCATTAAATTTTTGGCTGTAATTTTTGCGTTGTTAAATATAATGATTATACACCTTTACCTTCGATGTTAGTGAAACAAATATATTTTTGCTCAAATATGTACCTGATTAGATATATGTAATATTTAATTTAGACTACTTTGGTACTTTTGCATAATTCAGTTAGATATATTTATAGAATTCAAATATTTCGAGTTTATTATATTACCGAATTACTCGACAATCACGCTGAAAGCGATTGTTTGATTTACAGAAATTCATACAAACAGTACGAAAAATAATTTCATTCCTGTTCATGAACAACTGGGTATATCGTTGACTATTTTTATTCAATTTCATAAACTACATGAACATATATTTTCGCTTAGCAATATCCATGTAAATAAAAAAATATAAGTCAGCTAGGATATTGTTTATGTAATACTAAATAAATTTAATCCATTTCAAATGAAACTACATATAACTAGTTTGATGTATACGTTAGTCTGCCTGCAAAAATTATAGGATAGTTCTAGTAGAGAACGCGGTGTTTGGTGTCTGAAGAGTAAGCAGGGGTGTTCTGAACGGGGGTGCGAGGGGTGTAGCTCATAGCAGTGGGTGGTAGTTAGGCTTTCATTACATTGCTTTTTTAATCCTAAAATTTGATTCCGAGGGCATTGCACCGTTTCAAATCTAACTGTCGAAATTCGTACCTACCTGCAATATTAAACGACATAGCATAGTTCGAAATTACAATTTTAGTGTTATTTCGATTATATTAGGTATTGCAAGAAGTATATATCACATCAAAGTAATATTTAATGTAAAAGTGAAATAAATTATGATAAACTATTGTTATATAAAAAATTACAAGTAAAAATGAATGCAACTAGCTAACTCAGTGTTGTTTATGTATTAAAGTCAATGTGATTAGAGCTTTAGTGCTAGATAGAGACTGTGCAACAGGAGAAAAGGTATTGTACAATAGAAACGTCGCCGACAGTTCCCGAGGGAATGAATAGCATTAACCTATAAACCGGTTGGAAGAGTTCACTATAATATAAGTAGTTGGGTTAGCGCAACTGATTTTGTGTATAGCTACATCAAATGCACGGATAAAATTAGATATTCAATAACGGGAAGGGGGATCTGAGGTCCGCCATTTTGAAACTTTGGTCGGGCGAGGGCTGTATGCGAGGGGGACTGCGCATGCGTAAAGCGAACACCCGCACCCTGTCTATAGGGCCGGGACCTTACCAAATGTGATGTCAAAAAACAAGTTATTCTTTCCCCTCATTCCACTAACCTAGTACGTCTTAATAAAAGGGATAATTTATCGCCCTGATTTCTGTGAGTTGCATATAATGTGTTGTTTCGACGATCTCACCGCCGACGTCCATAGGGAATCCAGTTAAGACGTTTATCTGGTGAACAATGACAGTGAGTGGGTGATGTTTAGAGTGATTTATAACACTGATCACTGAATTTGAACAACGAATATAAATATACTAATCGAATTTTGTTCTAACTATAAATAGTGTTAGTTAATATATGATATAAATGTTGGTGTAATCGTGCATTGCTTTGTGTCGAGCGAGATATCAGTCGTGGAAAAAAATATAATGGGATGACAGGAAATACGGATTCATGGAAAAGGTTTGGCGTCGAGTCGGTCTCCATTCCTCCCGAAAGAAAAGGGATGGAAGTGGGACTAGCAGGGAAGTGACGTCATCAGCCCCGCCGGAGGCCGAGTATCAAAATATCCACACACTGCGAACAGCTGATTTGATAAGGCAGAGGCAAGGCGAAGAGAAGTCAACACTCCGTTCGTCATATATCATACGTAACGGTGATAACTTCATACTAGTTGAGAGGAGACGTCGAAGGCGCCGTAGGAGTGGTACCAGGGCTTCATCAGGCAGCAGGCATCACACTCCACCCGTAGAGGAGAACGCTCGAACCGAACAAAAACGTCGCCCTCCTGCTAAATTGAAAATATTTGGCATACAATGGCCATTACACTCTAGCGACTCCAGGTGAATTGAAATTTTAATTTATTTAATTTCTTATTGATCTTTACTTAATATACGAGACACTTGATTTTATATAATGTTTAGTCTGGCGTAGATTTTAACATGTAATATTTATTCAAATAGAAAAATTTACAAGAAAACATCATTATTATTCATAATTTAGTACCGATGAGCGTAAACATTTGATTATTTGATCAAGTTAGATTGCATGACGTGAATACTTATGTAAAATGCAATTTTCGTATGAACACAGTCTAGTAAATTTGATTTCCAATTATTAATGGAAATCGATTATGTAATCAAATAACTTTATTATTCAATCTGATGGTTTTCTTTATACAACTATTACTAGTTGTGCAAAAATATTCTCAAATATATATTTTTAGCACCTGTAAATGAAAAAAAAAGCTCTATTAAATATTACTTGTTGGTTGTTGTAATACTTTCTTATTAATATTTCAAGAATTAAAATCATAAATTATTCATTACGTGACAAAGAAATTGATTGTAACCATCATAGTTTGCATAATTGCTTTGTCGGAATTGGAATATAGGCATTTATGGAAACTACATAAAAACCAATGATTTATTTTTATAATAATATACATAGTATGAATCCTCTTCAAGAGATTTTTTGATTCCTATAACATATTAACTATACTAGATCCTTATAAAGGTAAATAATTCTGCGATAGTAAAATTGACAATTAATTTATGAATATAGTATTTATTACCTACACAATAAGGATAACATCATATTATCTTTGTCTTTATGCTTAATGTTATTTCTCTTGTACACGAGTTGTAACGATTTGATAAAAGTTAGTATGTTAATTTTGACAAGGCCTTTATTATAATATACATAAATATGAAAAGAAAAACATTAAAACCAAAAAGTTTTCTTATTTTATACAATTACGTATAAATGTATCAGTATTTAATAATAACTATTATGGTTTATAGTTTATGAGTGTATATTTTTTCATAATTTCCAGACACACTTCAATAACTCGTCGTTTTTGTCGCGGTCGTCGATCCCGTGACGACAACGAGCTCTATCGCTCCAATAGCTTTAAATTCGAGAGATTCGCTCGGGAGCAGCCCGCTGACGACTTCACTACCGGATCACAGGTGACATACCTATTATATATATTAAAACTCATCATAGTACTTTGATTTATTTGAAATTATTTCAAATCTGGCTGGTTTTCATTAAAGGTGAATAATAGGAACATCGCCATTATAATCAAGATCAGAATTGAATATGACTTTAAATTATTCTACCAACCTATGAAACTCATTTCATATTTAACTGTGCGATATTGGTTTGATATCTTTCGAATGTTTTGAATTTCGAATCTTTGAGTCATTGAACTTATCTTTAAAGAATAATTTAAAGAAAACAAAGACAAAAATCCTTGTAAAGCATTCTGCATAGTTGTGAATAGATATACAAAACGTGTTGTTAATTTTTAAAAATGGAACACCAATCCATAGATAGAGAATAATTCTAAAATAGGGGTTCACATATACCTTCCTTAGTAGTACAGCTAACGTTTACGCCCAAATTTCATGTATATATGTGATAATACATTCTTAAAATTGCCGTCCCTACAAATCTCTCGTGATGTTACGAAGTGTTGTCGTCCTATAAGGATGCGTTCACTGTGAAAGCGTTACCCACTTATCTAGATGAGCCATCACACTCACAAAGAGCCCTTTTTTATAGTCTCCTCGCCTTGAGATTTCCGTAAGTCATTTTGAATGTGTTGATATTTCATACTCATGGCTTATATAATTTTTTTATATTGCTGAAGTTTATGATAAGGAAAAATTATATTTTCTAATGTAGATGTTTAAAAATGTCATTGAATAAAATTAATGTTTAAAACATTCTGTAAAATGTTTAGATTGTGGTAAGTTTTTCTATTAGAAAAATTTAATAAAGTTTTATATAATTAAGAAGACAAACTTTAGTTCTTGACATCAAGAGATTAGAATATTCCTGGTAGGTATTTGTACTCAAAACTATTTTGAAGAATTTCGTTTTAACTTCACCAGCTTTAATTTTAGTACCAAAAATTTTCTTTCAAAAGGGCTTTCATTTAGTTATAAATAATACAAATAGTTCGCGATATCATATGAATTTATATAATCTTACTGCTGCATGGGTTTAAAAATTATATTTGATTTGATGCCGTAATCGGGACATTTATCTACAACAAAATTGAAAAACGAATAAGTACATAAATTCATGACAGCGCCATCTAGTGAAAGAGATGGTAAACTCTAGTGACCATGTTTGTTCCTCACTAGTGCTAAAGGCGCATTTGCTCTAAAACTTTTAGTACTTGCGGGTAGATGGCACTTTTAGTAAACATATTTTTCTTTTGTTACATCTGCAATCCGTCTTACTAAAAGTATTTTTAATTTTTGTTCTTTATTATTTGCACGGAATTACAAAAGAAATGTCTGATTTTAAAAAAATATTAATAAACATTGTCTTTAATAATAATATTTTTATCATGTAATTTGAAAAAGAGTGTTTCGTGAAAGTAGTTGTTAATGATCACCGAGCATTGATAGTAATTCTATAATAAGACATACTTAATTAGTGTAAGGTTAGTCATATCAAATCATTCCAAATCAATTACATATATACATTTTATATTTTTATTAAACTTTTTATTAAAAGGTGTCTAGAGCTGTAGCGGTCAATTCTACAAAAGACAAGACATCTTTCTGTATAATCTTGTCTTATCACATTAAGAAGGAAGTATTGGTATTGCAATATGTAACATAAACTATAGTCACGCGTTTCCAGGGATTGACCATTAATATCAAGTGTCCAATCAATTACAGCACCCGGCTTACTTGACAGGGTGATAGAGGAACGGCAAATAAAACATATATATTACAAAAATAGTAACATTAACATATGTACATACATATTTTTTAACTAACTTGATACTTTTTGATTACAATTATTTGTCGAATAGTATTTGCTTAATTGAGTTTTTTTTGTTGACATTATTTAAGCTTAAATTTTTTGATATTATATCATCAATTTCTTAATGTAAATACACTATTCGTTTGATATACATTAAAGTATTAATTACAAATAAGTAAGAATAGATTTTTGGGTGTAAATGACTGTTATATTAGTCACTCTCTTACCCTTATAGCCAATATAAATCACGTTATCCTGAGATCTCGATTGCCTCATCAACATACTTGTGTACGCCAGACGCGCCCTAATCAAACTAGTCAAGTTGACTTATGGGTAATTCATATGAAGTAACAAAAAATATTGTCTTTTTTTCTCATTACAAAATCTTTAAGATTATTCCACACTATTTAAGCATCTATTCTTTAAAACGATACCTTTATTAAATATGATGTCGTATTATGTTTCTGGGTTCAGGAATAAAATGATGTTTAATATAAAGTACTGTTACTAATGAATGCTTTAAGTGTCGGTCAACGATCTCTGTTTTAATATACAAGAAACATGATTGCGTTCCGATGCTTACAATATTACAATTGGGTCACACCCCATTATAAAATTAAGAATATAAATCTTGTTTCTCGATTAATATGAATTATTTATGAGCGAGTTTCATTTAATTTATATTTTAAATAAATTTTCTTTTATCAATATAAAATATTTAAATTAATCTCTATTTAATCATCTGAAATACTTTTAATTAATCTATTATTAAAAGTCGATTATAGTCGTATTTCCTAAGATATGCCAATGAATAAATTTACTACTGGAGATTAGGTCTTTGTTTTGTGAATACGTTTTGAGCACTTGTTGAATATCAGTCTAATAATGCAATTTTCTCCAGTCTCTATCTAGAATCTAGATTTATCTGAACCAGTTGCGTCCACCAGACTGTATTATTGTGTTTCAACGCTACGTTACGGAGTTTTTCTATAGGTACGAGTACATCCACGTACTGTGAATAAATGTAGATATAAAATCGTACTCTTTTGTATAAGCCTCTTCATTTCGATAAATCAAGCATTGAAATTATAGATATATATTCTAACGATTCAAACTCGTATAAACAGTGTTCTTTATGAGTTTGTAATATAAACATTACAACATATATGTTTTAAATATTTCTAAAATGATACTAGTAAATAATAACAATATGAATTATAAGTTAAAATTGTTTGTGTAAAGGATGATAACTAAAGTTAAGAATATAGGACCTTTAAATCAAAGAGTTTAAATTTTTTTTTGTTTTAATATTGAAAAAAATATTTATTCATAGTTTAAATTATCTAACCTTTGATACAATCCAACTTTAATCTTTTAAGTATGTACAATTGTTTTTATGTTCATACATATCTTCGGTCCTATTTAAGAATTTCATTACATGTTAAAGGAAAGGAAACGATTTATGAGCGAATCTTTTTTAATATGCATTAATAACTTCTTAAAACCAAAAAAATATATAATTAATACTTGCGTTAAGTTCAGCAACAATCTATACATAACTTTAATACTGAAATAATTTCTTTTTTCATTTTTAGTAGATAAAATTATAAAGTTTTGTGATGTTCAAAATGGATAGCTTAAAAGTTATTAAGACCAAAATAAAACAAGGCCACAGACAACGAAGCCGGTGCAAGATCAAGGCTTGTGAGAGATTTTAATCTGTATAAAAAAATATATATGTTACAAAAATTTCAGGGTAGCTTATTATTAAAAGAGGATTTGTGTATTTGTTTTTTGTGTGTTTATGTGTCTAAGAGTATACCTATTTTTGTTCTATGTTAATGAAATATATCAAAATCTATTGTCTATGTCTTGGTTGATCAAATAAGAAATATTATATACAGTGGAAAGTATTGATAATTATTAAATTTGCTTTAATAAGAAATTTAAATATAAGAAAAAGTTCGTGTAAACATACGAAATATTATACATATAATATGAACTATTGGTCCACATCATTCCTTTTCACGGGCAACATTTCGTCTTTGTGTAAAGAAAAATCCCCAGACTGCTTAACTCACCACTTTCGTTATGAGAAAACTTGTCTACGTCGTTTGCTTTTTATGAAAAGTTTTTTTTCTCACAACAAGTGACGCTTATGGAAAGTGTAAAAATAATTTTCTTCAAATAACAAGAATTTAGGAGTTGCTAAAGGGACGTTAAGTGATTTGTACACAGATATGTTGTTTAGAAAGCAATAGATTAAATTGAGATCAATTTAGATAAACGTTATTTTAAAACGTGTATGGAAATCTCTGAAGTGTATTAAATTCCATACATTGCTATCGAATAACAAAATTATTTGCTGCATGTACAAAAAAAAATGCATTGTTAATTATTATTCACATAATGAATACAATGCGAAAGCCATTCATAGTTTGAATAAAGGTATTATTGTTCAAATCTGTCAATGACGCACTGAAATATTATATTTTGTATGGACGCTCGTAGTTTTTAACTTTATTACGCATGCATTAAGCCAGTCTATTCCCTACGGCCTTTCTATAATCAGGTTGTGTTTCGGATAGCTGTAATTGAAAATGTCGAACGGTGTGATGTTCATTTTCCACTAATTAATCGCTGTGATGACATTCGTCCCGAGTCCCCTCGACGTATCTATTCATTCACGGCAATATTTTGACTACAGCTAAACCTGTATTTCATGTTAGTGATAATGAAATTGTACAACTGGTTATAAATATAAACAATAATATAAGATTGTTATAGGAATGTATGTGTTATTCTGTGTAAGGTAAAAACTATATTTGAATTATCATGATATTTTTCATTAAGTATTTTTTGAATATAGCGTAGATCAAAATTAATTTTATTTAATAAATATCGAAGTCAGCAGACGAATCTGCCGGAAATGGTTAGTGTTTGATAGATTTATTAAAATATTTATAATAAAAAACATCGACAACTTTAATTTTACAACGGATATAAGATTATCATTTAGTGAGTTGTTATTAAGATTTTATCCGTTCCTTTGTGGAGTACCTGCTTATAAATTAGAGAGCCAATTAATTACGTTCAAGTTTTTTTAGTAAGCAGTTTTCAGAAGCTTTTTTATATGTTATCTTAGTTAAAGTTATTTATAACAAAAAGTAGTTAAAATTATATGTTGTTGAATTGTAATTTATAAATCAAAGATAACAGACAATAACATTTATGAAGACGTTCAAAACCCGACATGTTTTATTTAACACTTTATTACACACACCACAATAAAGAAATAGTTCAACAGAAATAAAAATAAATTAATTTTATTATGTATATCAAATATTCAATATCTGGAACTGCTATGAGCTTCTAACGTATGAAAATTGGATTTTAAATATTAAATTAACTATTACTTCTTTAAATATAAAGATATTTTTTTAACTATACAAAATAAAAATAGTAAAAAAGCGAGTATGTTAATTTTGAAGTATGTATTCAAGTATTTTATATTCACTTAATAAAATAAATATTTTGATGAATTTAATAAGGTACATACATATATTGTCAAATAAATTATCTTTTAAATGGCATTTTTCTGTGAGCCCTGCAATTATTATATACCTTTAAAAAGTTTTGTCTTTTTTACAATAATATTTTTTTAGGAAACGTGACAAAGATATTCGCTTTTTTCATATACAGGTAAATTTAAAAATATCATTAGGACTTCCCTAAAAACAAACGGAGTTTTAGTTTTGCATATTGGATTTTCTTAACGGCCTTATATGTCACGTTTTGTCCGAACCGTTATAATTTATTAATAAATAAAACTCGTGAAATAAGTGATCATAAAAATGTTAAACAGTTGTAGGAATCCTAGATGTATGGCAATAGGAAATAGAAAAAAAGGTAATAAATTCAATAATCGGTTTCAAATAAAATATTTCATTATATATTAGTCATTAATTATGTATACTAATAAGTCTTTCTTTATATATTTAGTCCCAAAATTGTATTAGGTATTCGTAGTAAAGCAGGTAGCCTACAAGTTTTCGTCCAATACATTAAATGCGTGTAAATTGCTTTCCTCGATATTGGTAAAGTTTGAGACCGTTCCAGTAAATCTCTGTAAGACAAATGTTAAGGGGCGAATGTCACGAAATCTTTTACACAATATTTTTGTAATTCATAGTGAGTGTTTTGTTCCTTAAACATGTTATTCCGTTATACCGTAGTACTAGGATATTTTTGATTTTTTAATTGTTCACAAAAAATATATATTAAAAAACATAACGTATGTATCAATTTATATAAATGCGATGAAGTATATTCTACCCTTTTGTTTAAAATAGACACTAAAATTTTAGTACACTGTTTCTTTATTAAACTTAAAAAATTGAGTGATAGGAAGCAAAGTAATAATTGCAAAGATGAGGATGATGGAAGTGATAAGTGACGATTTATCTTGTAATGAGTTTTTTAAGGATAAGTTCCTCCGAAGAATTTTTTATTCAACGCACTTCTTCGGCTATAAATAGCTAAATACAGCTAAATATTGAAATGGAAATATGAAAAATATATTTAAAATACCCATATCAGTTGTTGAATGCTAGTAATTTCAGATATTTTGGTGTTCATTACTTTTATTGCATTTATAATATAGAAGTTAAAGGTTGCCTGGAAGAGATCGCTGTTTTAGCGATAAGGCCGCCTATTTTTACATTTTCCTTTCTTTGTTTTTCTCTTATTACTTCTGTCTATACTGGTGTGCAATAAAGCGTAAATAAATAAATAAATAAATAAATAAGTTAATTGCTAAAGTTTTGCTATTTTCTTTATGAGTCATTATCGTCCTGTAAATGGTTAGGACCTACATAATATTAAATAATACTTAATTTATTATTATTGTTTGATAGAACTATATTAAGCCATTTAGTTTTGACAAAGTATTTGTCTTTTTTTGTGAAACTTTAATGTGAATTAAAGTTTCTTGGTAATTGTTTGAGATAATATTGTAACATAATGTGGATGTAGAACTTAATATATTAAAAAATACACATATATTATATATTTAATTAGGAATTATTAATTAATGAATATTAAAATTAATAATATAGTACTAGAAAGCAAATTATTTTTGTGAAATACTGTATATCAATCTCAGTTGGTTTAAACTGAAACTGAGCACAGTCTGCAATGGTAAATATTATAAGGGATATCCCTCAAACACTGGGGATAGGGAAAATAAAAGAGCAAAGCGAAAATCAGTCGGCATCCGTGCATTGACTTTGATGTTAGCATCAGTTGCATTAAAATTTACATATTTTCTCCTTGTATTTGTGTTTTTACTTTGATGTTGTTTTCAATGTGGTTTGTATTCAGTGGGAATCGATCGCCACCAACTTGTTTATCACAAAGCGACAGAGTATAACTCACTTTGAGGTTTGCCCTTTGTTGTGAATTCGTTTTCGAAGTATGAAAAATGTTAGAATATTTGCTATCGACTAAATCTGATTTGTGGTCGTCTTGTTGTTAGATTGGCTTTTATTTTATTCCACTTCTGGTTGTTTTGAGGGTATGTCACTTTGTATGTCTGTATATACGATGAACGATAAATATGTATTCAGTTATATTAGACAGGGTCATGATTAGAGGCAATGATAATGTACCAACAAGATTTGTTTAGGATCGTCTGGCGTCGCGTCGCAATCACATTGGGGATTGTGAACATTTGAATATGCTTTACATTATTAGAATCTTATAAAAATAGTGTAAAATTGAAGAAATATCTATGCAATTTCAGATTGAAAAATATAAATTGCCTAGATTTTCCATTTGTATTTTATTCTATTCAGTATAACTCGGTTGACGCAGTCTATGAATAAATCTAATCTTAAAGTTTTATAAAATTTCAATTGAAATAAAATATGAAAATAAACATTGTTAGCAGTATTGAAACTTTTATGTAAATTGTATGATCAATGAATTTAATAATGATATCAGTAGAGTACATATATTGACAAAGGAAGTAATAAGTGCTTAGACAAAATAACTGAAGCGACTCACAGATTTTTCTTGTCACGCTTTCAGTATAAATAGCGAGATCTTGCATCCGACACGCGAGGGATCTTATCTTATTAGTGACTTTCCCGTGTAAGAAGTAGTGAATTAGAGCATCAGTATGAAATTTCTAATAATAATTTATTATACTCGTATGACTATGAAAAAATCTAGCTATTTACTTTTCCGTCAACACTATTTCAAAATGAAAAATAATTGGATTTCGTTAACAATGATCGCTTCAAAGATTTTATTTAAGTTCCGGTATCTTTTCACAAAACCCCCATTTCCTGGAATGTCAGACAGTCTCATCCGGTCTAGGGTTGATCCTTCAACGGATAATAATTTAAATGATTTCAAAGTGTACTTACTGTAATTAATATTTAATAATTATTAGTCGTGGTTTAATTTTAACTTAGTTAATGAGATTAGATACTAGCCAAAATCACAGATTTATGTTATAGCTCTGAATATTTATAATACAAACCTTTTTCACCATCCATATGTTTATACAGAGAAGGTTTACTGTTAAATTATACGTATCGTTTATTTGGGCGCTCTTTAAAGTAAGACTATTACGAGCACAGTACTCTCACAATATTCGGCTTCATTTCTAACTTTACGGTGGAATGACAGTCAAGTATTATTCAGTTTGAATTAAAATATATATATTTTACTTCAGTAATATTTTTAACCTAATAAATGCAAACATAATTATCATATACATTTTAATGAATCACAGTAAAATTATCGCTGTAAAGTTGGTGGGAAGTAAGTTTTCATAGATGGTCCCGCTCGTCCCAGGGGCGGTAGACCTGGGGAGTGGAAGGTCTTTATATGGAGTTGGGGTTCGTACATTATTTGGCTCTTTGAACCTGCATTCTTCTGTCGTTGAAGGACTTTGTAGTTTTTAATTAAACCATGTAATTCTTGCTGTTGTTGTTGGTTAAGATTTGAATGATTTTTGTTTTCTTCTTTAAAACTTTCTTCTTCATTTTTATTATTTTCTTTTATTATTGGTATATACATTACGGGATTCTCTTTTTTGTTTAAGTTGTTGTTGTATTGTATATAGTGTGTCGATTTACTTTTAGGCTTTGTTTTAGACGATTCGAAATGATTTTTTGCCATTACATAGTTAAAAATCTCATTAAGATTTAAAGATTTATCTTTCGTTGGTTTTGGTTTATCAGGAAGATTTTGCTTATTTTCGACTACATTATTTGGTTTATTAAATGGTTCTGGATTATTAAATTTATATATATTGCTATCTTCATTCCGAGGAAGTTCTGTTGTAGATGTATTTTTTGTGTTTGTTTTAAATAAATTCCTTAGGAAAATATTTTCTTGTATCATTTGTTCTACCGATGATTCTGTGGTTGTGGTAGTTGATTGTTGTGTGAATGTTTCTGGTTTATTTTCATTAATACTTGGTTTAAAGCTGTTTTGTTCAGTATATTGGTAGTAATTGTAAGGTGTAACATAAATATTTGTATATAAATTTGATGAAGGTGTAGACATATGGTTATGTTGATCTTGAGAAAACCCTTCGTTGTGTAAAGTTGGAACTTCATATTTTTGTTCGAAATTTTTATACACCGTTGAATTCTCATTACTTTTATTTATTTTCACTGCTTCAAATGGAGTGTTTACAGAATTAAAGGATTGAGTTACCAACTGATTTTCAGGAGAAAAATCATGAACTTCAAAAACTTCTGATTTTTTATGTTGGTATTCCGTTTTTGCAACTGGTATATTTGTATGAAGATTTGAATTTTGTTCATTATTATATTTATTGGATTCTTGTCTATATAATGCTGTTGTATATAATGTTTCATATATTGGTGTTGATGAACGCGTTTCTCCTCTTCTGTCGTTATTATTTAAGTCCGTTTCAGATTTTATATTATATATTTGTGAACCAGAAAATGTATTACGTTCATTTATATTATTTTCCGAATTTGAATCGAAATTAGATGAGGGATAATGTTTTGTATTGTCATTTTCAATATTGTTAGACTTTGCATCTGTCTGAGTTAATATTTCAGTTTGCATCATTCGAGTGTATTGCTCTGGAGTCATGTCGCTGAAATTTATAATGACGTCGTCACCTTCGGTAAATGATCTAGATATTGAATTTTTATTAGGGTTTTCATTGGCGTTGTAACCATACTGCCACCTCCATAGTTGCTTATTTGCTTCACGTTCAACTTCTTTATCAGCTTCGTAGTTTATCAACTGAGGCAATTTATCTGAATAACTCGCTTTTTGCACTGTTGGTTGGGTTTGTTGTTGTGAAAGTGGGCTATGTGCCCCTTGAGATGCCAGAAAAGTGATTTGAGGAGTAATTGGTGTATTTAATTTCAATTCATTATGTAGGATATTTTCATTTTTAGGTTTAGTCTGAGTATTAAAATTTGATCGTGATGTAATTTGATTGCTTTGTGAATTAGAACTATCTGAAAAGGAAAATGCTTCAGGAGTTCTTCCAGTAAACAAACTTCGTTGTTGAGGTATACTGAAGAAGTTTTGTTTGCTTTCTTCTTTACTTTCATCAGTACTTCCTTCATTTTCCCATATATTTCTTAAATGTGGAGGTCTTCTAGCTTCTTCTGCTAAGTTATATTGGATGGCTCTGAAAATAAATTTATTTATATAAAGTCCAAATTTCAATATTAAATAAATAGTACATAGACTACTGAATTTAACAGTAAATATGAAAAATACCTTTGTATTATTTCGGGAACTGGGGGTGGTGATGGTAGATGGTCACCAGAGGCTCGGTATCCGTTAGAGTCGGCGATATAATGTACAGTATATGTTCGTCCATCATCCCCGATGTAGGAATAGGATCCCTCTACAACCTGCTCTTCTTTGTCAGTGCCCATATTTTCCATACGACTATGTTGCACGTAATGGGTCTGATCAGCGCCCAGTGCTCTAAAACATGATTGGTACTTTCAAACCCTAGCAATTTAAACTATTTAATGAACATATTAATTTCGTTATTTGTAAAAATGCTCACTCGTAACTAAAGCTGCCATCTAAATCCATTTCATTAGATAAACGTATTATTGGTATGGCTGATTCTGTTGTTGTTCGAGCAATATGACCTGGTGCTTGAATGTATTGAGTTTTTTGATTGGAACCAGCTTTTATTTCGTCAAATCCTGGATCAGCCTTTTGAATTTCACTTGTTAGTATCATCCGACGAGCAGCTGGTTTTTGAGAGGGCGGAAAATTACTTGATGATTGCTTGTTACCTATTATAACTTGGTTGGGTCGTCCTTTTTCATTTTGAAGTTGAGTATTATACAATCTTAAACTTGGTACATTATCTATTCTTTCTATTGTTTTACTATCTTTATTGGTTAATGTACGATTGAACTGAGCTCTTGATGTGGAACTGGGCTTCAAGGCGCGATCGTGTATATGCTTTTGTTCACCATCCTCAGAAACATTATCATCTGAATTAGGTCTCAGTGTTGAGGATAGAATTATAGAAATTGGGGTAGGAAAATGATGTGGTATTGATTGACTTGAAGGGAGAAATTGATAATTGATTTTATTCATATTGTTTATTGAATAATATGGAAGAGACGTTTGAGAATCCGCTGGTAAATAAATGGTACGATCTGGTGAATGAACAGAACTTGGAGTTTGAAACTGGTTTGAAAATAGATTTTCATTTTGTGTAAACTTTTGGCTATCAATCGTTACGGTCATATGAAACAGCAATATATTAAAAAATATCTGAAACAAGAAAATTGATAATTTTACTATAAATCTATACTTACATAATAATATAAAAATCCCTTTTATTTTTCTTAAAAACCACTTCCACTCACCCGCTTCATTTTAAAAATGCATTAAAGTCTATAGTACTTAAAACCAAAAGACACCGTCACTTCTCACTTGATAGAAAATAGACTGGTAATGAAAATGAATACCGCATAAATTTATACACACGCAGATGTGTGGCCAAGCACTCGTGAAAATATCGTTCAAGTTTTCTCTTGTCTTATTATTATAGTCTGTTTTGATGTTGTGAAGTTACGGTTGGTAAGAGATACAAGTGTTATACTCCATATGTATGGATATTATATATGTAGGTAAGTATTTGAATAGAAATAATTTTTATGATCTACAAATAGATAAGTAATATGACTTACTACCTAGTATGACTTACTTTTGGATTATTTCGGAATGTAACCAATTAAAACAATATTTTATGTACCTGGTATGTGTGTAAGTAACGGAACTACTAAATAGAATTACCAAATCTTTACGCGATTTAATAAAAAACTAATCGGTCTTATTAAGGATAAATGATAATTTAAATACTTAAACTGATGACCTTCAGGATTAATATAAGATAAAAACTATTTTCAGGGAATTTGAAATTACAGTAAAGCATTTTAAAAGAAGAGAATATTTTTCAATAAATTATAGTATATTATTACAACACTACTGGCAATAAAGGCATTTCAAATATTAAAATATTTTTCAAAATTTATATCAAACTTTCCGCTGTCTTAGTTATGTTCTTCTACAATAAAAGTTTTTTATCAAACTTTTACAAGTAAATTTCTTGAATATCATTTATATTTTACTTGCCTTTTCTATAGAAACCTAATTTGATATATATTTTTAAAATTACTATAAAGTCTCTTGTCACATTTTTGGTGTAGTTACATTCATTGTAATTAACAGACATTGGATCTTAAAATTTCAAACAAAACATCTTGAGATTTGATATGTTTTTTGTAAATAAATAAACATTATGATAAAAAAATTATTTTCATCTGATTGTAGTTTGACTCAGTCATTCTGAGAGTGGTATTGTTATTCAAATATTGAATTTATTGACAAGAAGAGAAGACGATCCACTTCAGGTACTCAGTCATTCGATGTTATATTTTAAATGAAACAGGATGTTTACTTACAAATTTATTCAAGAAATCATTATGCGTACATCACATTTGTATTGGCATTCAGAGTTTATCACAAATTTCTTAAAACTTCAACAGTTATCGAGTTCACAATATATATCGTGATCAAGATAACTGCTTGTTTTGAGGTAACTTAAAACTTATATTTAAGACATGTCACATTCGACTAAACTCCGACGTGAAATCCTATTAAAGATTATTACTTTCCGTAAGAGGGGAAATTCTGAGCTTGAGAATTGTAGTAGTTTTGTTCATTGGAGTTGTAGTTTTGTTGTTGTTGCTGTTGGGGATATCCTTGTTGAGGGTAACCTTGCTGGTAGTTTCCTTGTTGGGGGTAATTCTGTTGAGGGTAACCTTGTTGGGGGTAACTCTGTTGAGGGTATCCCTGTTGAGGGTAGTTTTGTTGAGGGTAACTTTGTTGGGGGACATTTTGAATGGGCTTTTGTGGCGCTGGTTGTATTGGTTGAGGAGCAATTGGTTTTGGAGGTTCCTGTGCCTGAGGCTTGCTGCTCTGCTGTTGTTTATTCTTTTCAGCCTCAGCTTTCGCTGCTTCCTCTTTAGCATTCTGGTCGATAGCTCTGAAGTGTTTAATAAAAACATTAAATAGCTATATCATATCACATGTGATTCACGTATATTATTTACTACAACTAATTTACATATTTTAAAGCAAAAAACCGGTGCGATGATAATGAATTGCCCAAATGGTAACTTATTTGATAATATTTTTGAATTAATTAATTCATATATGAATAACATACTTTTTTCATTAGAAGTCATTACACTCGATTATTCATGTTAATGCAAATCATTTTATTATAATATTAATATATTATGAGAAGTGATTCTTGTAACAGTGATATGGTTATTTACATAAAAAAGAGAACTAAAATAATTTCTTGCTATATTTAAATCGCAATATTATTGTTAAGCAAGTTCAGGTCAAGTATCGAAGTGGAGCCGCCAACAAAAAAACTGTAGTGTCGACTTTTTATGAATTCATATTGTGGCAAGGAATAAAAACGGGAGGTATTCGGTTGCCGTCCATATAACATGTATTATTGTTTAAACTTGTTATAGCTTGAATATATTATACGGATATTATATTAAGCGTTATCATTTCTCTTGTTTAATTATAAACTTGACGTAATTGTAATGAGTTATAAAACTTTCGCTAGTATTCATTTAAATAAAACTAATATTTTAGGATTACATCTCGTTATTTCATTATTTTAAAACTACATACTCCCGACGTTTCGGGTATTTTGCAGCAACCGTGATCACGGGCAGACGAGATGAGATTGTCTGTCAGTTGGTCGTGTTATTTTTTTGATGTAATTGTTTTCATGATTATATGATATTTCTTTTTTATAATAATTACTTACGCCTGAATCGCGGGTGGGACTGCAGGTGGTTTAGGGAGATGGTCGCCGACAGCGTGGAAGCCAGTTTTATCTGCCCAGTAAGTTACGCTGTAGACCTTGCCGTCAGCAGCGGTGAAGGAGTAAAAGCCTTTTTTCACAATGCTTTCCTCTTCAGTGTTAGGGTCTGTGAAGTAGCCTTCTTCAGCGACATGAGTTCCATCAGCGATCTCGTATCTACAGAAAAGAAAAATTATTTAACATATGTTTTTTAATTTTTATTATGTCATACATGAATGTTCTTAAAAAGGTCTTTGACTCTTTGCCTCACGATTTTGTAATGAAATTTAAAAATAATATAATTTAATGTAAGAAAGACACCACAGAACAATATGAATATAAAACTAATAGGATTGTATTGAAATACAGACTTTCTTTTTTAAGATGAAGCAGATAGTTATTATTTAATTTTTAGCGGTCCACGTTGAAAAACTTAATGAAGCTAGCATAGAGACTTTATATCTTAATAACTTAATAGGCATCTTATTAAAAAAGTTTCTAGACAGTATAGCACAAAACGTTTTGAATTTTTATTCTTTTAAACTACATAGCTTGCTGTGTATCTTGTACTTATTAAAAATTTTATAAAGAAAGAAATAATTTTATGCATATAACAAACAATATATAAAAAGTACCTTTTTGATCTGAACATTGACCACAATTAATTAACATAAAAATTCTATATTATATATATAAGGAATATATTGATATAAATCAATTTTTCAAATGTTGCCGTAATATTAAGTTAGGGTTCAAAACCCAAAAAGCAAAACAAAAGTAAAGCGTGGGATCAATATACGTTCGTTTTATTTTAGGATGTATCTAATTATGCAAAGTTTTCGGATGGATGTCTAAAAGCCGTTATAATGGATATAAAATAACAGGTTTTCTTGTCATTTCATTTTGCTAAAATCCAATAGTTCAAACACCGTTATAAATTAAAAAGACATTTCCAACACAAAATATATAATTTGTCGCGACTTAATTCGTATTAATATACGAATCTATAAGATTTTCCCTTTTTTTTTTTAAATATATGAAATGTTACAGCCTCATGGATTTTTTTTTTTCGTCTGAGTTCACCGCACTTTTTAACTTCGTTTTAGTTGAGTTGCCTTTTTTAGGAATGTAAAGTATCGTCAGTAAATTAACGTGGAAAAGGGTCAAGTCATCTCGATAAAGTATGTGTCCCGTAAAATTTAAAATGACCAACAAGAGTTAGCCTTGAATAAATGAATGCAGGTAAAAATTACAAATAAACCCTTTGCTTATTGGGGCAAAAATTAAAAATATCTAATTTATAACTTCGCTTAAGAAAGTAAGTAAATGCGTTTAAAAAAGTTTGGAGAAAAGTTTTTTTTTTGTCAATATGTATACAGTATATACAATAAAATAGGTATTTTGATTACTCACTCATATTTGTAGCTGCCATTATCACCGATGATTTGTTCGTTCTTGATGACAGGGATTGGAGTGGTTGTTGAAGAACTTGGGCTTGGGTTTTGGTTCCAGTTATTCCAGTTGCTTTGGGATCCAGTACTAGCTGGTTTGTTTTCGTTGCCAGAATTTGCAGGTTTATTCCAATTATTTTGAGAGTTTTGGGATCCAATGCTAGCTGGTTTGTTTTCGTTGCCAGAATTTGCAGGTTTATTCCAATTATTTTGAGAACTTGGGTTAGCTGGTTGGTTTGACCAAGAATTTTGCTGGTTATTCCAGTTATTCTGGGGCTGGTTTTGGTTCCATGCATTCGGAGCAGCGGTGGACCAAGAATTTTGTACGTTATTTCCGTTATTCGACCAACTGTTTTGATTATTGTTATTCTGTGGTTGATTATAAGAGATCTGTTCGTTATCAATTGGGGAATACGAATTTTGTACTGGATCTGGCCTAGCGGGATCCTGGGCTGAATTTTGAGAGTTCTGAGGGTTCCAGCTTCGGCGTCGCTGAACTACTCGTCGGTAGGTACGAGGTGCTTGATGAACAGGCACATTAACAGATGCAGCGACCTGTAGGTCGTCATTGTTTTCGATTTCTTCTGCTAGCGTAAATGCTAGGATGGCGATAGTAAAGAAAAACTGAAAAGAAAGAACAATTTTAAAATTAATAATGATTAAAGTATAAAATTTTGCAGTAATATAAAATTGTAAAGTATTTGATAAAATAAATTATACTTATAAAATGATTTAAGTTATAAATAGGGAAATTTTAAGTTTGGGAGAGTTTAATGAAACGTAAACTAAAATAATATAATTTACAAAAATTATTAATAGTTATAATATTAATATTTTCTTTTATTTATATAAAATTAGAAGTATTAATATTAAAATACATCACAAACTCAAGGACTCACCAGCTTCATCTTGTTGTCCTTACTTCACCGCGCTCTGTCGGAATCTGTTCTCTTATGGGATCGTCTCACATTTTTATAGGAAAACATCCTGCGTCCTCGCATTCGCATCTCGAATTCTCGTTTGATCTGCCCGATTAGAGATACTGCCATAGAATTTTGGACACTAAGACGGATTCACATTACAGTGTTATATTTAATATTTTTTCTATATTGTTTTAATATCTTGTTTTAGAGCTTTTTTATGTTAATGCACACGGATGGCAATGAAACGGTTTTAACAGCATGAATGATATAATCTAGTTCATATGTACGAACTGTCTACAAACAATATTTTTTTATGAATGACGACAGAGATATAGTCATTCATAAATTGCTTAGGAGGTGCCTACGCTTGTTTGCTATATGTTTAACAACTTTTAATATAACGTGGTGAGAATTAATCTAATGGGATTTTGAGGACGTTTTACAACAAACTTTTAAATTTTGTGAATCAAATAACATTCTTGTGATTCGAATAAAACAAATGTTATATACACCTTATTTAGAATTTAATAACGTATAAAAATTGCTTTATTAAAAGTTCATTCACCTTAAGCTATTCTTATCATATATGATTTTGTAATCCGTCATAGTAAGAACTAAAATAGTCATAGTAAGAACTAAAATGTAAATGGAAAAACTGTGTACCGAAATTTGACAAGGACGTCAAGTCACGTTTAAGCACCAATATAGAGCATAGATGTAGTCATGAAATGGTTTTATAAAAATCATTATATAGACGCACAAAAACACTATATATGTATGAATATTATGGTATATATATATATATATATATATATATATATATATTTATATTACAACTCATACTCAGTGTAAATATATAATATATTCCATATTAGTTTAAGCTAAATTCTGCATTTAAATATATATAAAAATTCATAAGTTCTAAGAAATGTGTCTAAATTTATAACAAAATGTGTCTAATTCGTTTCCCGACATTAAAATTTTGTTTTTAAATCATTTGAATTACTCCCGATAAAAGGGGACGTCATTCCAAAAGTATACAATGAATGTATGCTACAAAATTTATCACCGTTCGATCATAGCAAAATTTAAGCGTTTTTTTATGGTCTTATAATATTTCAAATTCTTTTTACCAACAGTCATATTATAATTATAAAATATTACATCTATGTAATTAATAGATAGTATTCTAGTGACAAGCCCATAAAATATAATTATTGGAACAAAATACATTTGTAAATATATTAACAAACAAATATAAGAAACATAATACTCCGTAATGAACGATATAATTCGATTTAATGTTTATCTTTCGCTTAAGTGGATTTATATCTTGACAATAAAACAAGGTTTCATATCAAGGACATCCTTTTATAAAATTTGCATGAGAGACATCCAAATTCATCCGAAAGTTCCACAACCATGGTGTGTGAGAACGGTTTCTACATTCGTTAATTAACAAAATTACTTAAACCATAGTGATTTTTAATATAGACTTAAAATAATATAAAATTCCCTCTTAATAAGCACATAATTTTATCTCTCCAATAAACACTTTGAGGTATGTTTAAAAATTACTTGCCTTTGTACAGGATCCCAATTAGCATTGACTATGTAAAGAATGTCCGGATTCTCCGCTGATTAAAAAGTATACTTTCATAATTATTTATTATATATAAGGACATCCTAAATAATATATTTGGAGTTAATTTGATAACGAATTCTATGGAACATAATAAGAATGAAAACAAATTTGTTTCTAACCAACAAAGTTATATGCTAGTATAGACAAATAACGTTTGAGAACAGCTTTCTTTAAAGTTAGTAAAAATGTCTCCTCGAAACTTTAATACATATAATTCTTCGGAATATTTGTGGACGTCTTGTCTGTTCTTAAAGTGTTATTGAGTTATTGGGTTTTATCTCGGAATGTCTCTGTGGTTACGCGTAAATTGCGAATTATGAGGATTATACATCTATGTGCTTGAATGTTATGCGTGGGGTCCCTAAAATGTTTATTGATTTATATTAATGTCCAATGTATGAGACACTGATGTACAAGTTATGGATAAGGCACGAGTGATGGCATTCTTATTTGTTTTCTTTAATCAGACACGTTGAGTGAACGAGAGTTAAAATAATAAATTCGCTAACGAAGTTATATTAATGATACGTAAGACTGACTAAATGGATACTAAATTACAAATTGCTTTCGATGTTAGTGACGCGCCGAATGTGAATGTTTATGTGTTGTGACAATTCGTATGGAGCCTTAATTTTTTTTCCCAAATTTACAAAAAAGGTTCTTTGTTTGACCTATGTAGTATGTATATAAATACATAACCGCATTTTTTGCTTATCCCGTTTGACTTCAAAGTTTGTTATGTCTTTGCTATTTTTTTCGAATACTTATGTTTTGCTTTAAGATATCTTTGAACATTTACCTTTGAAGTTATGCGTATATAATATTTTAACCATAAAATATAGGTACATACCTTTAAAGCCTGTCATTCTCGATATTTCGGTTCGTTATTGTATTATCATCAGTCTGCATATCCATCCAACCAAATTCGTTGCATGGGGCCAATTAGTAACATTTGTATGAAGGTTGTAAGAATAATTCATCTTTTTTTTCGAATACGCCTTTTAATTCTACTTAAACTTATACAAAATATTTCTTGTTTATAATTCCTCAAATACATATGAACAGAACCAGAGCTTAAGTCTATTATATTTTTATATTTTTAACATAATTATGTTTGTCTTACTTCTGTGTTGTACCGTTTTGTTGATTTTAGATTTTTTTTAAACACATTCTTTTGTTGTACGCTAATGAAGTGATCACTAATTAGTAAACATTTTCGGTACGTAAATGAGTGATCATTTAAAATTTCGTTCTAACTGTTAATTGCTCCTGTGGAGATAATAATTTATTTTATTAATATATTTTAACTAAATATGTACAACCGTTTCATTTTTATATTGTGTTTTTTTTTTTTTAATATTTGAACAGGATCGAATTTGTTCTCGCGAGATAACAAACACTTATGTAGGTTTTGGGTAATGCAGTTGAAAATAAACAATTACTAAGACATTTTAGGTGTTTGAAAGAAAATAAATATTTTTAGTTATAAATAACTATATTTTATCCAGATTTTACGATCGTAAAACAGTTTTATTTTTTATACCAAACATTATTCTTATGTAAAAAAATATATATTTTTATATTATAACTCATTATAACTCATTATAATATCATTATGTATTGACTTATTGCGTTTTATTTTTGTAAGTAAACATTTCATGTTTAGTAGATGCTTACGTCATGTAAGATATCTACGGTCAATTTATAAGTTTATTGACTTTAAAAATAAATTCGCGGATTTATATATAAGCGGACGAACAGATCTACATATATTATACATGAAGTGGGAATATTTTAAAACCTAAACAATAGAAAAATGAATACTCATGCTGCAGATAAAATAAGCTTATTTTTTAATAAATATTCTATTTTTATAGACATTAACTTGACTATATCTTTGTTAGACTTGTTATATCTTAGAGCTGTCTTATTTGTGTTGTAGTTTCGATTACAGACTTATACTCAATAGACTGGGTTCATGGTTTGTGGTCGCTTGTAAATTCCATTAATAAAGACTGTACCTCAAGTACATGTATTGTTGATATGCATTATTTGACAGAATTTGAATAAAAATTTATGATTAATTCCAACAGTTTTGATATTTAAACAGAGAATCATTGATAAAGTATACGTGCCTATAAAATAGTATTATATGAAAAAATTCTGAGTATATTATAAATAGATAAAAATTAAAAGTTACAAATATAGTAAGTCAAACATGAAGTTATCCGTCCCAAAATGTCCTATTTCATGTATATAAAGTTACTTACACCGTTGTTGTGCTCTAATTATAAGAGTAATAAGATCTTTATCTGTTTATGACCAATACAAATGATTGGTTAATAAAATGTAAGTAAAATATTTTACTATATTTTCAAGACGTTTACGATTTTATTCCCGTTGTACGGATTTCCTTCATACTAACGGGTCCTTAGTGTCAAATTTTAGTGTCTCGACGAAATGTTTGCTTTCTTACCGAAAAAAATTTTATGTTTAAAACGGTAAGGGCCACCGTTTAAAACAAACACGTTTTAAGGTCACCTCGTATCCTAAAAAGTTACTTTTACTTGCTGACCTGTTTATTTACTTTTTCTTGTGATAAAAAATATTAAATGTTTGCCTTTATCCTAAGTCCTATATCACAAACAACCTGTTTTAGTCCACACTCCAATCCTTACCTATTGAGAAATCGGAATCGAAGTTAACGGAATCATTAATTATAAACGGAATATATATGTATTATTCATATTACATATAACCTACTAATAGGCAGGGTTAATTTTAAATGTAGGTTCTTTATCATTGAGCTCGGTAGCTTTTAGAATGGACTTAATAAATAAACCTCCAATAATACATGCATATAATATGTCGCGTTATAATCAGTCAATGGTTCTTTTATATGGAAAAGGTATATTTTGTGTCACTTTTGGGCATCGGATCATTTGTAAATTGCATATTATCTTAATTGCGATATAAATCACAAAACGTCGCGTGGATTTTTTAACATTGGAACTTTTGATAAGAATTTAAGGCTTTCAACGAACTTCAAGAAGACAGAGGATCTCAATTACCTGCCTCCTAAATAATAATTATAGGTAATTGGTTTAAAATAATTCAATTGTGATTAAGTTTGTTCCTATATGTTATGATGATTTCCACTATGAAATACAGTAAATAACTGTAAATAAAATTTGCAATACAATTAATTTTCTTCATAGGAATGAAAACGTTATTATAAGAATTGCTAGGTAAAGATTTCTTTTAAAATAAAAATAATAAAAATAATTCAAAAAGGTAGTCTTATGGAAATAAGAAAATAAATTGTAATTTAAACGAAATA